ATGACGTTTTCAGCTCAAACCAGGTCATGGATTAGTCTCTGCTAATAGATGTCATTATGTGACGGTAACTGCCCTAGAAAGAAGGACCTTAGATTATGATCTCTGAGAACGGTCACTGTTTTTACTTGGTAATACTTGAGAACATTAACTGTTTTTACTTGGTGATACTTGAGAATGGTCACTGTTTTTACTTGGGTCTCAGATGACGGTATTTGTTGATATAAAGCGTCTGATAAGGTTTCGACTACAATGAAAGGAGCGAGACAAAGATCACTGTTAACAATGTTGCATCAGATGATGGTTTCTGATGAAAAGTGAGCGTTAGATAATATTCTCTGCCAAAATTAAGTTCGTAGATGACAGTTTTCTTAATGAAAGGAGGCCTCTATATGACGTCTTGCAGAAAAATGTTTTCAGCATTTATTAGACGCTTGGCAAGCCATCAACATGACAATCTGTTACTAAGGAAGCTTTGACGATACGCTTCATATAACGTTCATTGTATTATAGAAAACATCATATTTTAAAACTATATATCGTAGCTCTACTGCCAGAACTCCCATCATGTTATGGAGCTAAAATTTCTCACGGAGCTCGCAAAAACAGCTGTCCGCTGACGACGTGATTCAAATATCAATCAACACTAATAAATACAGCTGATCCGCGATACGGTATTCATGGCAGAATGATGTCGTCGCAGTTAGCCCTGAAATAGTGAATGTATTCGGGGGAGAAGTTAGCGTTGAGCGTGAGACCACACGCACAGTGCCAACGTTGACGTAAATGGAAATTCAATGAAAATATTTGGCATAAAGTCTTCACGCACCGACAGCACCCCGCTACTCGCATAAAAGCTTTGCTATTACTGCGAAAATTGGCTGGGGAATTCCACTTGTATTCTTAAGGCGTTGTATCATTTGATGTACAAGTTGGCAGCGGCGAGTTCCGGTTTTAGCAGTTACAGCAAAAGGCCGCTCGAGAAATTCTATTGTTTAGTCCGGCACGTCTTTTATTTGTTTCAGACACAGAATAAGAAATCGTCTCTCCATGGTCCCATTAAGTACCTCACTGGAGATCGCTGAATGCCTTTAATCTTCCTCTTTGATTTTTATGGCTATCCCTTCTCGCCCTGCATCCAGTTGTAAGGATGCTTGAAATATTTTCATCTTGCAATGTATAGATGCACACTGAAAATCTGACGTAGATGCGTTGATTCCTTACCGTTATGCGTATTCTTTTAATTATATAAATTATGCCTTAGTATTAGTTTAACTCCTACAAATTTTCACTCAATCCTTGGCTCCTCCTATACAAAGCTGAATTTGATAACTGTTCATTGTGGGTTTGAACGGAACTCGTGAGCTACAATAAAGGAGTTCACAGCTCTCAACAACTGAGGTCTATCCAAGAGTGAACTGCTACAGTGAATGTATCAATCCGGGCACTCCTTTGAAGAAGCATTCAATGAAATCGCCAAATTACAATTACTTATCAGAAATACTGGCCAGACTCGGATGCTCGCGCCAAGCGGATGCGCCGCAATCGAGCCATCTTCATGGACACGTGAATCGCGAGTGAGACCAGCGTTTTGATGTTATTTTGCTGTAATATCGGTCGCCGTGATAGAACTGTTCACTAGTTTTCCGAGTTGGTTGTCCAGATCAGACACAAAGACCTTAGAATGTATTTCGACGATTGCTGGTCAATGGATAGGAAATACCATTAGCTACTTCTTTGATACGAAGGGGTTGAAACACGACGATATCTCGTATCAAACAGTGTCGATATTTCTGCCGACATGTCGTGTTACAGCGAAATAGAAGATGGAGTTTTGGGTTTGAATAATGACCGACTCATTATTTACCCAGGTAAGCGCCTGCTAATTAGACAATGAAATTATCCCGACCTTGATTACCAAACAAGTTTTAGTATCGCCGTTCTCTATTGTGTTCTGGAATCCTTGTCATCAATCCGGGACTTTGTATTTATATTTTTATTTAAATTTAATGTCTAGTAAATGGAAATGTATCATGTGAGCAGAACCGTTATGAAACAAATTAATTTGATCGCTTGGTACAAGACTTATTATTTGAACCGACAGTGTAATGTATAAATCTGCCTTTAATCTCACCCTGTACTCGTCAACTTGAATGGATTTCTAAAGCGGTAACGCGGCCCGACATTAGCATGAAGACAATGGAGCAGACGACTCACTTAATCTCTGTTGAAGACCGTGAAGGGCGCTAATGGAGACGTCAAACCAGCAACGCTGAACACTGTCATGGAATTGCTACGTTAAGAAGCTATGGCAACACTCGCACCTTGTGAAGCTCCACACTGATTCTAAGCCTCTTCCTTTCTTTAGGTTATGCAAATTTTCATTTACTCGAGCACGATCTATTTGCATGGCATTACCTCAAGGAAGGACGGCTCCGCGATGAAGCTGTCTCTAAGACGCTTGCACAAAACCTGACTTGAAAGCCAAAACTTTTAACTCGGGATCCTTCTAAGTCCGATAAAAAGAAGGCGGCCGCAAGAACCTTCCTTTACGGGAATCTGAGGTGCTTCTAATTTGTCCTTTTATATGTTTGGACCAGAATATAGAATATACCGCAGTCTATACTTATAATTTTTTCATCTGAGGCCTAAACCGGCATGAACGAATTATTATGGTGAGGGGGAACACTGCAAGAATTTACTACTTCTTATTAGTAAGAGTCCTTCAATAAATTAAATATAACGTAATTAAGCTTAACTTATTAAAAAATGTCACAAGTGTACTGCAAAGTAAATTCAATTTTATTTAGTAAAATATTTTTTATAACATTTAAACTCGATGATAAATAATATCATCTTGTATGAAACACGCCCTAAAGGAATTAAAGAATTAAGGTCATTTATATCGATAAATTTCTTCATGTACTCTGCACTCGTCGACTGGTCTAGCAGTTCAATAAAAGCTTCACAGTTTTGTTCACTTTGGTGAGCTCGCTGCAAATCTCCGAAGTGTCCGGCAATGTTGCCCAAACAAAGACGCTGCAAAACTTGCCCCGAGCTGCCCACTTGGATCTGCTCTCGAATTATTTGAATTCCCTGCCCTGGGCTTGCAAAGGAAGCCCATTACGAGTTTCATTTGACCCGCGGGGTCCTGAAAAATCCTCGGCACCTGAAAAGAGTTTAAATATATTGTGTTCTCGAATTATTTGTCAATTATGCGGCATGAAAATGTCAATTAACATCGCTTGTATTGAAGCGTAAACAGTTATTTTATAGTACTAAATTATGTAGTTTAAACTGCTCTTGTGACTATTTTTACTGAATATTGTAGTTTAAAAAAACGCTCACAAGTGTTACTGCGTAATGTCATTACTCTGAAGCCGCGAACAGAAATTTCTTCAAATAAACCTTGTTTCGAAGCCACTTGCAATATATAATATTCTCACTAAATAATGTCATAGCGACAGAGTGGACGAATATTTAAAGTAAATGACGTCATTCGTACATAATTTTATAATATATCAGATAAATGCTACTATTCGAATGTAACTACTGTCGTATAAAAATTAGTGAATATGAAATCTAAAAAGTAAGAGCTTGTTAGATCATAATCTTAGAGCGCTGAGTTCTTGCGTCCCACTAATAATGACAGAGTGGCACTTGACTGAATTGTTTATTTATGCTGAACGCTCTGGTTTTTCGCATTTTTTTCTGACTTAAGGAGAGGTATACCCTAAAATCGAAAATTTTTCGGTTTTTGTATTTTTGTTTCATATTAAAGAGCAAAATCTCCCGCTTCGAATGGTATATCTCTCTTCTCCGTACGTTTCTTAGTTCGGTCAGCAGCGGCTGTGAAGTGCCAGGCATCACCAGACTTTTAACTCCCAGAGCGGCGCTTTAATTAACACTATCGAGTCTTAGTTTTGCTTTTTCTTTGAAACATGAACCTGTATCTGCAAATTCATTGACCGAAGATCTCAACTCCAGTATTCTCTTAACTGTACCAGCCTTTGACTCTAACATCTTAACAAGAGTCAAATTATTTGACTCAAATAAAGCAGTTAAAAGTAAAATAGGTGCGCTAATTGTTCTGAAGTATATGAATTATATACGTAGTTTCACCCAACTTAATTAAAGGATTCCCAAAGCTCTAGTAGAAATCTATTGTTATTTCTTAAAACAAAGTAATTTAGCTCCTTAGTTCATCAATTATATAAACTTTGAGCGCGCTCGCACGAGGACGATTTGCACCTCAACTGTTAGAAAGTTTGAGTCTTAATTAAAGCTCCTAAATTTCTATCAGCTTTTAACGCGGCCTTGAATGAAATGAAACTCGTGGCAACGAACGCGAGCTTAACTGCTTGATTCGTGAGCGTGTTCATTGAAAATATTATTGTAACATAACAAAAATGTCATCTTAACTCGGAAAATAACAACTGTTCAAAAAAAAACCCTCTTTGCCAATCTGCATGTTCATTATCAGGAGCTGAATTTTCAAAGTAAGGCGACACTTTGTACAGTTGAACACCATAATAAAAGGATAATCCAAGATATTCTAGATACTTATAAGTATTTCACCCCCAGCCTCCTCAATGGCACACTAGCTCCAACTTCGAAATTAATTGCTAAATTCAAAACAGAGAATATCTTACGGATTAGTGTTGTGAATTTTATTCCAGCACTCAATGAATTTTAAGTGATTAATTCTTTTCGGTCCTATAGTTCATGTCACAGAGTGAATCCATACCGATCGGTCCGCACCGAGTGTCGGTTCCGTCCGCAGAATATGTTTTACTCTGGGTCGCGCGCTCCTCCGTGATTTCCGCGTTACCTTGACGACTGGACTGTCAACAAAGCAGAACCTCACTCGGCCCCAGGTCCGTTCAGTTATTCACTTTCAATATCCAAAATAACTAAGTTTCAGACTAGCGCTGTTAAATCTAAAAGTATTTACTCATCATTAAAACATTACTAACCATAAAAGAAATTAATGTAGGTATAGCTTAGTGTCACAGTATTAAAAGAGTAATTTAATTCATAGATACGCAAATTCCAGATTTTAAGCCAGTTTAGGTCATCGTCTAATCTACTGCACTTGCAATTTTTTCTACTTACGAGGAGTCCTAAAATTAGAATCAACTCCTATAGAAACAAAGTCATAGTGTCAATGAAAAATTGAACCGTCGTCATTCATTCAATACAGGGAAAGGGCGTAACTTTTCATTATTTACCACATTAAAAATTACAGTTGCTTCTCACGAGTCTTCAGATTCCTAACACAAGTGCATCATCGATATAAAAAATTTAGTAATATATATTTTCAGAGGTCTTGTAAATGAGACGTGGATTTTAGGCGCAATATAATTCCAACATCCGCTCTACATAGAACCGGTGGGAAGTTTCATATAAAGCAAGATGAGCGACGAGATCAAGTTCGTGGTACGTGAGCTCAACAAGGAGCCCTACAAGAAGAACCTCAACATCATCACCTTCGATGCCCTAGAGCCAGAGAACCTGCTGCAGGCATGTTTTATCCTGGAGTTTTCACAATTATTATTTAAGTTCGCTGATTTTTGGTTAATTCGAACGTTTGTTTTAAAATCATTCAAAAGTCAATTCCTTGAAGTGAATGCTATAAAATACAGTAGTTTTCCAAATTTACCTTCGACATGTCCATCAGTTTATCTTTGAAATTTAGGCAGCGCTGACTGTGCAAATAAACGATAACTAATCTTACGAATCATAAAACGAATCTAAACATGTTTCAAGATTTGTGTCCATCACATTCGCTTTTTCGACGAAAGTAACCATAAATAACTAAATCTGTTCATCTTCACAGAACACATATATTATAAGACTTAGCCTGAAACCTTGATATAAATTTAATTACAATTGTGTTCAGGTCCTTAATGATGTGTTCGCTGAGATCGATCCGAAGCATCGGCTCGACATCCGCCATGAGGACCCGGAAGACATGGCGGTGCGCATGTTAGGCTTCCTACGCGTCCTGCAGTACCGACCACCTGACCACGCCATGTGAGTCTCGGTTTTACATGTTATCCCAGTAAAAGTGTTATATTTCATATAATACAAGTCACGTTGAGACACTCTATGCCGTGTGACTCATGGCATGGAAAAGCCTTGCCGTGTAATGCAGTATACCGACCTCCAGACCACGCCATGTGAGTCGCGGCCTTATATGTTATCCCAGTAAAAGTGTTATATTACATATAATACAAGTCACGTAGAGACACTCTATACCGTGTGACTCATGGCATGGAATGGCAATTTCGTGTGATATCCTATCCAGTACCTACCTCCCGACCATGCAACTTGCGCCATACCATAATGTTGTCATGTCATGCCATTTTGAGTGTCCGCTAAGAATACAGCACGGTATAGACTCGGGTGAGTGTGTAAACGTTTATTTTCACCCGAGCAAGTCAGTTTAATTTTATTTCAGTTGTTGCACGGAACTGTACAACATATTTTATTACAACAGCAGCTTGTACGCCAAAAATTCTTTTTATCGTGCTGCATGTGTTTAAAGCTTATAAATTTATTCATTTTGATTGCTATATATAAGCGTGTCAAACGAATGGCGCTGTATATATAGGTCGACTCGCTGCAACTTTCAGATTAATTGTACTGCGTAAAATAAAAAAATCAAGCATAGAGACATCCATTTAGTTTCACGCTTTAGCGACTCATTGCGACTACATGATTTTTCAATGCAATTGTCTTCTTTAATCGGCGATAATAGTTGTTAGTTGAATTTTTGATCAATGATAATCGTTGTTGGTTGAAATTTAATAAGCGATAATCGTTGTTGGTTGAAATTTAATCGGATATAATCGTTGTTTGGTTGAAATTTAATCGGAGATAAGCGCAGTTGGTTGAAATTTAATCGAAGATAATCGTTGTCGATTAAAATTTAATCGGATATAATCGTTGTTTTGTTGGAATTTAATCAGCGATAATCGTTGTTTGGTTGAAATTTAATCGGAGATAATAGTTGTCGGTTGAAATTTAATCAGCTATAATCGTTGTTGGTTGAAATTTATTCGGATATAATCTTTGTTTGGTTGAAATTTAATCAGCTATAATCGTTGTTAGTTGAAATTTCATCTTAGATAATCGTATTGCAGGCAGGACTTCAGAGCAGGTCTGGTGGCCGGAGACAAGCACGTGGTGCAGCCGATCCTGGCGTGGCTGCTGCAGAGGCCTGAGGAGCTCAAGAAGAGAGCTTATCTCGCTAAATTCCTCATAAAAGTTGACATTCCGCAGGAGTTTTTGGGCGACGCTGACATCAGCGAAGTATACGGCAAGGTAAGGCGTTCGAAGGTGAACGCAGTGCGAATGGTTACCGTCTTCTAGGTGAAATATTCCAACTCTGTCAAGGCTCTTAATAATTCAGTTCTTTCGAATTTTGGAACAAATTTCCCTTTAAAACATGTGTGACTCAGTTATTACATCCGTAACTCTTCTACCAGTCAGCTTATAAGAAAACTTCGGAAATAAATTTATTCTGGTTGTCCACATTGACTTGCTTGCAATGCGCTGCGTTCATATGATAAAATCACTAATCTTACCTTCGGGTTTTTATAGTAAATTTGGTTTCAATATTCGGTATTTCAAATTGATGGAAAAAAATTGTATCAAATCAAAATAAAATTTCGTAATTGCCTTCATTCTGTTGTTATACTACTGAATAGATCAAATCAAAGAACTGTTAGGTATAATTTACCTCTTTCATTTTGTTCTCATATCTCGCAGAACAGAAAAACTTCAAGATACCAGACAAAATAATGAATCGTGGGATTTTAGTGTAGAATTTTTGCACAAGTTTCCCTCACTTATATACTGGACCTCAATATAATTAATGAATTTTATAACAAATGAACTGAATGCCATTTATATCTCGCCAATGGGTCATTCAATCACTGAACACAGCAGTTTTCATGAGAACTATTTCCCGGCAGTACGAAATGCTGGTGGAGCAGTTCAAGGAGGTACACCGCACGCACGAGGCGTTGCAGAACAGCGGGTACTCCACCGCAGAGCTGCGCAAGGATATGACGGCCATGGAGGAGGAGAGGGACTTGTTGACGCAGCGCATCGCCAAGAGCAAGCAGCGTGTGCAGTCCAACCCTGGGTATGAACAGGTGAGACATGCACTGAGTGGGGGCTTAAAGTGGGTAGAATCTCTCTAAGTGAGCAATCAAAGTGGGTAGATTCTCTTTAAGTGAGCAATCAGAGTGGGCAAAAAATTTCTAAGTTACTACTCAAAGTGTTTACATAGACTCTCTGAGTAGGCACTAAAAGTAGATAGAAACTCTCTGAGTAGGCACTCAAAGTGGTTAGGAACTCTCAAATTAGCCCTGCGAATCGATTTGACATCGTCCACCCAAGAGGTCCGCCTGGGTCGTAGACGTTCAATAATCTATAGATTTTATCACATACCTAGTGATTAAATATCCTTGTACATCCCTGGCCATTGAATGATTTCAAATTTAAAATATTAGCCTCTTCTGTTTGGGTAAACTTTCTGCCATACCAACTTCAGTTGTCTTAGACAGTACAGAGAGTAAAATAAAATGCAACAATTAATCAGTTATGCATTTAGCTGTTCATCCCGCACCTCTACAGGCCCTTGAGTCAGCACGTAATCTGAGGCTGCAGAAGGAGGCGCAGAAGGAGATCGCAGCGCAGCGAGCGAGTCTCATCGCTGCCAACGAAGCGGCCCGGCAGCGCCTCAGGAGGATTGAGGGACAGATCAAGGATCTGCGCAAGTCAAGCATCGGCACAACTGCTGACGGTGAGTTGCTATACATGGTGAACTGTTGCTCTGCTGTACTTATATTTGAATGTACCGCGCTTTTAGATGTGAAATACGTTATGCTTTTTGAACATTTTTATGACAGAAATAACGAGAAAATTTTGATGACTTTACTTAATTTAGCATAAGGTGGTCTAATTTCAATGATTTGGTTTTCAATTATGTTCAAAAACACTCATTACCATCCAAATTTTATTTCTAATTCACCCATTATTTCAAAACACATGTACAGGGCGACTACAATTTTGACCGTTTTCCTAATTTATATTTTCTCTCTCTGATATGGTGATCACTTTTGACCCGTTTTGCACATGAAAGGACGTTTCCAAATCGAGGCAATTTTCTGCCCTCTAACTTGTAATGCATTTGTGGGGGGAGCAGCAGCATCCAAAGAATTTTTGTCGAAGACAATCTATTGCTCCCAGTGTATCGCTGAAAAAAAGTCAGAATAAAATGTTTTAAACAGTTATTTAAATGCAACAAAAACGCTGTTATTACATCGTCTATATACTGAGATATATTTTATGCTCCAAAACATCTGCTCTAGTTATTATCGCTGTATTCATCATGTTAACCATTACCTACCAAAGATTTGTATGCAGACCAATTACTGTCTCTCTCATCCAAGCATTGGTTTAGTCAAATTATTTTGCTTACAATTTCTACATAAATTTGAATATTAATGTACTGGTTATTCAATTTATTCACTTTTAATTCGTTCAGCGATAATACGTCGCTTGGAGGAGGATCTGAACGTGAACGACTACATGGTGAACGAGAAGCTGCCCCGGGACCTTAAGAGCTTGGAGGAACAGGTCGCGACCCTGACGCGCATCTCGCACATGCCCGCCATGGGGCAGGACGACATCGATGCCATCAACGCTAAAGTAAGTGAAGAGCGCGACTAAACTACTTTATTGTAATTAAATATTTATATTATTATCATGAGTGGGCTGTTATTAACAGAAAAAACGTTTTTACTTCAATATATATATATTTAAATTCAGAAATCGATTAATAGCTATATTATTTATCGGTTAACACTCACCTGCTTGCAAATAAATTTCCCTTTCTTCACCAATTGTTAAGCCCTAGAAATTTTATTTATCATTATGACTAATTTTTGAACTATTTAATTTTTTTAATCTATTTATTACGTAGTAATAATTCACTAATTAATTTATTATAGAAGTTAAGCATCACTCCATATTATATGGTTAGTTCCGGACGGAAAAAACTAAAATCTGAAGAAGAAATGCCCAGGCAAAAATCTAGTGGGATTTCTGGTCGACCGACAATAGAGGTAAATTCTGGCAATATTGCACTACAGAAGCTATTGGTGATGTTTGCCGTCGCTTCACGCCCACCGGGAGGCCATTATTGTAAAAGTCGTAGCAGCAAATGACCCGTTCACAGGGAACGAGCTTCTTCTTTTTAGCCTTCTTTTCATTTGGTGGACTCGCTTGAAAGCTCCGACCTTTGCCAGATTTTCTGCCAATTCTCCTTGAATCCTAATTGTAAATTCTAGCTTTTTTTGGTGCTTATATTCTTTAGTAATTTCTAAATTAAATATTACAGCTGCATTGAAATTAAGCCTCCTTGGTAACATTTTTGTTTTCTGGTAAAGGTGAACTTTAAATTTTTTCATATTTTTCCTCGGATCGCGCGCACCAAAGTTTCAATTCGTAAAATGTTTTCAGTAAAACTAAGGCCAATCAAAGCTCGTCTCGGGTCAATTGCTTTTCCAATCATGGAAGTCTGGATAGTGTGTGATTAACTGCTCCATCAGGAATTGAGGCAGGCTTTATTTATGTTCCGTCGGTGTCGTTGAATATTTATTAAAAAAATGTTCGGCAAAACTAATATATTATAGTAATGTAGTTTAGTCGAACCTTGCAAATGAAGTATAAGATAATTATATAAAATAATGCCTGCTTGAAACCTGCATACTAAATTTAGATGTTTTGACGGGAGAGATTAGAAATACCAAACTTCTATTGTCTTGAGTACTATTATTTTTTGTCTAATAAAATATATTTTGCATCACTCGAATGAACAATTTTATATACTTATCTGATTGGGTCAAATTCCTTCTTTTTTGCTCAAATTCATAGCGTATATGAATAAATTATTCGCGCATTCAAATGAAGTTGGAATAACTCCTGCCCATGTTCGTGAATTGAAATAAATATTCTTAAATCAATGGTTCGTATATATATTATTTTAACCTAAATCATTCATAATTTAGCCTGAACCGTTTACTGTTTGACCCATCGAACAATATAAATACTGTTCTTAATTTAAATATAAACTTGTGTGCATCGTTCATTTACAAGGACCCAATAGTGCAAACATTATGTTCACAGCGGTATTTTTTAGAATACCAAATATTATTTACTGTTTTGTTTAATATTTATTCCATTTAGGTTTATAGTTATACTATTAAGTTTTATAGTTATGCCATTCAGTTTATAGATATACAATTTAATTTTACAGGTATACTATTTCGTTTCATATTTATTCCATTTAGTTTTATAGTTAAAAATATAGAAGCAAAATTTTAACTCGCTCGTGTATTGCGACCCGCAATCTTCGGTCAGATTGAAGCGACGGTAGCCGAGATCAACTCCCTGAACGACCAGCGGCTGAAGGAGGTCGAAGAAGTGGCGGGCGATGAGAACAAGGTGCATGGTTGTGTGCATGAGAACAAGAGGTGCGTAGTTGTGTGCATGAGAACAAGAGGTGCGTGGTTGTGTGCATGAGAACAAGAGGTGCGTGGTTGTGTGCATGAGAACAAGAGGTGCGTGGTTGTGTGCATGAGAACAAAAGATGCGTGGTTGTGTGCATGAGAACAAGGTGCATGGTTGTGTGCATGAGAACAAGAGGTGCGTGGTTGTGTGCATGAGAACAAGAGGTGCGTGGTTGTGTGCATGAGAACAAAAGATGCGTGGTTGTGTGCATGAGAACAAGGTGCATGGTTGTGTGATGGTTGTGTGCATGAGAACAAGAGGTGCGTGGTTGTGTGCATGAGAACACAGTAAGCCTGATATTTAAATAAGTAAGAAATTAATAGCAAATAAGTATTATAAGGCAGTCACTTTTCAGAGTGCCATTTTCTACGTTCCCCTATTTCACCTTATGATTTCCATTCTGTCAAGAATTTTTTTACCTGGTTATGAAATGAAGAGGAATTTTATTCCTTGAGAAAATCTACATACACTTTTATGGAAATAAGTTATTTGCGTACTGCATTTCGAGACCGCAAAATGCCGTGAATGTTCTGCGATGTTAAGAATCAGCGACAGGCCTACTGCCTACTAAACGATGGAACCGCTAATATTAGTATTATTATTAATCCAATAACTGAAATCGATTCCAGAGTTTCTTTATATCCATATTCATCTGAGCGTTTCGTCTCATTTGCAATTTTCTAACTGACAGTGGAACTTGACTCTAAAACGTTTTATATAAACATATGATGAATTTTCGTTACATTTTATTTGTTCTAAAAATTTTGTTGGTATTTTTAGGTAATGGACCAAGTCTACGTCGAACAAACTATCGCGAATGTCCTTTTACTAATAATGCAGTTATTATTAACCTTTTAACAATTACTACTACTCAAAATCCTAGATACTACTCAGAATTCCCTCCCCCAACAGATGGGGAAGCTTTCGTTCTTCCGGCAGAACGCCGCCATGATAGCGCGACGCAAGCAGCAGACCGCCGACCGCCTCACCGAGCTGCGGGGCGAACTCAACTCTGCCTACGAAGAACTCAAGGTAATTAAATACGCTCGACACTTCGTACAATGCTTAACAATTGTTGATCAATTGATTTTTAATAATAATCTTTGCATGTTACCAGGATAAACAAGACGAGTTGCAGCAGTTCTCAGGTCAAGAGGTGCTGCGCGGTGATGAGTTCAAACGCTACATCAACGACCTCCGCGGCAAGAGCTCGCACTACAAACTCAAGAAGGCTGAACTCAGTGACCTCAAAGCTGAGTACGGGGTACTCAGTCGTACTCACGAGATACTCAAGGCCAGGGAGGCACAAATGAACGAACAGTTGGTAAGTTATGCAAAATAATTTATTGTGATCAAACAGTTCGTTGAAAAATATTAAATAAAATCCCTTTACAATAATCAGAAAGAATGATAATTTCGAGAAAGCAAATTACTATGGGCACTTGCACAATGATGCCACAATATTCAATTAAATATTTATTAAATCCGAATACAAATTCAATTTCAGTCTGAATAGCATCTCAATCTAAAATCGTCGTCAATAACATCCATTCTATTCAGTGATGCATATGCGGAATAGATAATACGCGATCAATTGTTTGAAAGCTTCTTTGGAGATATTTTCACCGACTGCAATACAAAAGATTCATGCTACATAACACTCCTCAGCATTCTCCAATCAGCTTTAAGTCCCACAATTAATTTGTATTACCTTTAACATTCTTACAAATAAATTTGAGTTCAAACACAATGTTCAAAAGGTTAAAATTCGATTTTCACGATCGCAGAATCGTATTGCATGCAACTCATATCGTAATAATTTCGCTACGTCATGTGCAGTTTTGCGCTCAGCGTCGTGCTGCAATATCCAAAGATAAAATTCGTTTGTTTCTCAGTTTGTTGCACAAAGTAGGGAATGCTTTTGATCTTTTCGAGAGCTGTCATTTCATTTTGGAGAAATGTATTTTTGACCTTTTGACTACTATTGAATTACTTCTCTTTCGTCAGGGCATGCGATAAATTGAATTACTTTTGTTTACTGCCGAGCCATGTTACCTTACGCAGTCGGACGGATTACTCTCATGACAATTTTGGCTGCACGTTTCACTTTTTTTATCACCGGTTCATTTTTATTTATTGAGAGAATTTTTTATTTCGTACCACGAGTTTCAATCAAGTTCTCATTTGCATCTATACCGATAAATAGATCAATAAGTCTTCTCGTCACATTTTTAATTAAATACATACATATAATATTCTACTAGAAAATATAACAGAGCACGAACCAATTGAATGAATATGTAACACAGTCAATAAATTTGGTAAATTATAAATTAATAGTCATACAACAAATTCGAAAACAAAAAATCAAGGCGAGAACTTGCTACGAGTCGATTTATTATATCACTTGGTCTTAGAGGATTGCGTGAGACATTGTCTAAATACCAATGCACTTTTTGCACATAAGTGGGTCAACCTGACTCAGTTAGACCTAGCAAGACGCATGTCAGTGCTACGTGCAGAAAGTGAGTAACTATTTGGACTACAGACTCAGTTTTCCAAGAGTATACTTGTACGTGTGCTGCAGAGCGCCATGGAGGCGGAGCACGGCGTGAGCGGATTCAGGGCAGCACGCGACAACCTGGAGTCCGTGTCGTCCCAGAAGGGCGACCTCGACCAGGAGAAGGGCGAGACCCTGGAGCAAATGAGCGCCATGGTCATCGAACTTAACAACAAGATCGGCGACCGCAAATCCAGGCTCGCGCCCATCATCAAAGGTAGCTTCATCAGTGGTAAACGTATTCTAGATAGAATATTTCTTGCTCATAGACGTGCATTCAGAGTTTAATTGTCGAGGAATGGTGAATTTCCACTGAACTGAATTGAATGATAAAAGTTGATAATTATCCTATCATAGCTTTAGGCCTAAGTTATCTTAAAATTTGAATAAATTTCTGCCTGACGTATCATGAGACGTGGGATGTTAAGCGGTTACCTATTAAGCCATGACGTTCCCTCGCAAGTGATACAGCTGTATGAAAAATTTGGGAGACATATTGTTCTCATCTGATACTTACAAACACGTAGCTACACAGCGTGTTAATTGTCCATGAATGTATTAAGTTTGCAGATAATGCATGCATTACTTGTGTTTGTGTGTGTAGAGCTGCGGCCGCTGCGCCAGAGGCAGCAGGAGTTGGCCGTGGAGCATGCAGAGAAGAAGCAGTCTTATGACTCGGTCGCTGTCGGGCTGGACTCCACAGTTGGCAAGCTTGAAAGAGACGTGAACGTTAGTAGAAAATCGACATGTTCTCTGCGTGATAATTATGCTGTTTTGATCATTATTTGGAACTATTTTAGTGTCGGTCACAGAGTTGAACATATTTTAAACGTCTGAGGCGAGAACAATAGGAAGTAAAAAGCAAGACAATGAAATTTTTCGTTCATAAAAGCTTGTGATGAAGAACAATTCCAAACTTTTTCCAGCAAAAACGTATCACAATTATAGCGCCAATATTTCTTCGAACCTTATCTTCTTCCCGTTTTCTTTACACCAAACTATGAGAATACACATATTTGATACAAATGTCATAAGTCATTCGCTCACTCTGGCAGACCTTGTACGACGACATCATCAAGAAAGAAACGCAGTACCACCTGCTGGCCACGCAGAAGGAGGTGATGGAGTACAGGCTGCAGCAGGCAGAGAACGAGATCAAGCTCTACCTCTCCAGTGATGCTCAGGATAAGAAGAAGGCGTGCAGGTTAGTACGGTCTAACGAGCCTAAATTTACTGAAAAATAATTAATGTCTGAGTGAGAAATTAGTAATAAAAGTTGTATGATGAAATGTGAGATTTTGCACTGGTTATTGCGGTCTAGCACACCTAAATATACTGAAAATTTATTGATAATTATTAAAATTTTCAATTCAAACTTGCATGATTTCTCCATGAATATCAACAGTTTCACCTTGCTTCGACAGTGATGCTCAGTGTCTTCTTTTCTATCGCCTTTTCCATCTTTTGTTTCAACTTACTTGAATATTTTCCAATTGCTTTACATAAAACAATAACTTTTACCTGTAAATATTTTACAATTTTTTCCTTGCCAAAATTTCTGTTCATTTTCTATACAGTAAAAGTGGACACTTACGTGTTTCAGGGAGCAGCTAGCGTCTCTGATCGCCGAAAAGGAGAAGCAGGGAAAACAATTGCGCGAGCTCCAGAAGAACATTAAAGATCAGGTCGCCGACTCCGGCAAGCAGCTCATGATGTGGCAAGATGTCATCAGGTAAGTGGCTGCCTCAATTTCCAGGAACAAACAGCGGTTATATATAACTCAAATTAAAAGTCAACTACCGTAATTTGAAGTTTCTTCCTCCTGAAAGCTTTGCATGTACATAAATGTGGAAATAAAATTGTGGCAGCGCCCGGATTAGCGTGTATGCTGCTGAACTATCCGGACTTGTTTCTTGTCAGCCTGCTTGCTGCCCCTCATTTAATATTCAGTTATCTAACTTGCCTCATCATAATATATTAAATAAATATATACTATATAACATATAATATATTACATATGATATATATATACTATATTACATATTACTGGATTTCTAGAGCCTATATTGGCAATCTTCATACTGTTTTGATCCCATCTTGGCATCTACATAGTATGAATTTACGTATGACTATCGACACTATCATGTAATGATTGATAAAAATCGTATATTGTGAGTGCTAAAATTAAACAAGGTGTGACGCTAAGAGTTCTTCAAAAAATATTGATCGCTCCTTGCAGTTTCTTCATGGCTTTTTTATGATAAATTTCAGTGATGCTACCAACTTGACAAGCTGGAAAATTGCATCGCATTTTTTTAACTAAATTAAAAAGCCTGAGTCGTTTATCACATTAATTTTTTTGGTTCGTGTGTGAGCGCGATTAGAGACGGAATGAACTGGTAGTGTTTATGAGGCGGCAGTTGTGAAGGTTCGTCAAGGGCGCGTATCATGATAATGATGGCGGTAGATAACGATAGCGATAGATAATGATGGTGATAGATAATGATGGTGATAGATAATGATGGTGATAGATAATGATGGTGATAGATAATGATGGTGATAGATAATGATGACCAGTTATGTTTACGCTTATCTTGCTCAGGCTAATGGAGGTGAAGAGGCGGTGTCTGGAGGCCTCCAGGAACACCGGCGGGCACATGATGAGGAACAGCGGCAGTGAAGCACTCGTCCTCAACTGAGCACATCACTGCGTATATTATTAATGTTATTGCAATCACTGCGCACATTAATATTGTTATTTATAACTATTTTATTCTTGTCTGACCGACAACAGTAAACGTCAGAAGTGAGGTGTAACGAGATGAACGGTCAAGTACCTACATTGCGACAACCGCGAAATCGACGAGAAAGTCATTTTACTTTTGAAAAAATGTTGAGGCAACTATATTCATCTCAGACATAGATAATATTTATCTGAACAGTGTGACAACCACTTTTAATTGCAATATATAAGAATTGCATTCAGTTGCAAGTGATAAAAACTATTATAAGGCGCAATAATGATCGCCAGTGTGTCCTGTAATTATTAGTAATTGAGTTCACTGTTATTATTATATTAATTGTTTTTTTCCATATATAGGCCTACATATCACTTTCATGGGACAGTCAACATGAGCGCTCTGGCTTAACACACCCTTGTAAGGTTTTAACAAGCAAGGTTAACCAATTTAGTTTTATTACATTTCATGTTTAGGTTTTATCAGTTTTATATCAAATTTATTACCAAGAGTATATATATCTTTGAATTTTGAGAGAGTTGTCGCAGCAGTACGATGGTGGTTATGGAGACACTCCACCTTCCTCGCAAAATTCGTGACACATGTATATGAGAACGCGAACCATAATCCATTCTTCATGACAATTACTATGATGCGCTGAATATTATAAATCTTATCACGGACTGAGCATCCACTGTCATTTACCCATTTACTACCGGTAGCCAGTTTTCAAAATTCAAGCAAATCTATTCAGTATTGAAGGCCTTATGAGTGGTTCAGTTGCGCGAGTCCGCAGGCGAGTTTGCAGGCGTGTCCGCAAAAGGTCGATGCAGTTAAATTAAATACCGAGATAAAGAATATTCGCGGCATCTATTCTTTACTTACCGAGAGCAAATTGTTTAGCAGCATCTATTATATACTATTTCTTGATATGATCAAATTAACTTGGTAAGCTTCAATCAGACTGACGATTGCCTTCTATGATTGAATTATATTAAAACTCTAATGAATACTCTAAACTCTATATTAGTGTAGGCTGGCAGAATTTCTTCTCTTAAACAAGTTTTGTTAAAGACCAGAGAATTAGTTTTATTTACCAACTTCTTGTTAGTTTTTTCAATAAGTCGTACTAAATTCTTCGTAGGTGTTGGAAGATTGAAAATTAAATTACCGATAGACATTTTTAATATTTAACGACGTTAGCCAGTCGTATAGGATCGGGGCATCGCATAACGATACTGGTGCATTCTTCCAATATCGGGCGAGTGATGGTCTCGTTGTGGGCCTCCTTCAAGTGATTCCTTGGTCCTCCGGACTGAAGGTGGCAGGTGAGACGTCGGCTGAGACTCTATATTAAAACTCTAATGAATATTCAAACTTTAATGAATATTACAACAGTTATCCATTCGAATAAATTTTCGTCGCACATCAATTTTGAAGAATAATCACTCACAATGGAATAATTTATTAACAAAATAGTGTTATTTCAAATTTTTCTCGCGGAATTTACGTGAGCCATCGACACTCTCGCACATTTTGTTCCTAAAACTGATAATTGTTGTAGTTTGCAAAATTCGCTCAGAATGAATTTATATATTTCGAATTTTCATGCATGTTAGCTAAAATAGATAGGTTTATGATAAAAATTTAAATTTTCTTCTTGAGAGAGCGGCCGCGAAGAAAATGACATTGGATGCTATACTCTTATATAATTGAAATCATACCTCCCTCTCCGAGAAATCACTTCAAAAACAGGCAAGAGCGTGGCATTTAAGTAATATCTTATTATTATATAAGCACCTACCCAGGTGAGTTGTATTGGCAGTGAAAATCGTCATCATTCTGTAAATGAAACATTATAATATTATCCATTTGCAAATGCTCTGTGAATGCGGCGCTTGTACAGGAAAGGTTTTGCAAGCGAAAATTACTTGATTTGACGTTATTTTCTGTGAAAATTTCGCCGATGACCTAAACCTAAAAAAATTCTAGCATATACGAATGCACCTGAATCGACGAACGCAAAACTTCAATTATGGTAAAAAATTGAAAAGACCTAACTAAACCGAATTTAATTTTAATTAGTCTGTGATAATTGTCTGAATTAACGGTTCTTTACATAGACGTCTCATTTTGTTAAATTTTGATCCCAATCTGTCAAAAATTATTCTATTTGACCCGTAATATTTTTAATGATTTTGGCATTGATTTTGTTTAAAAATTGCCAATAACTACCCTGTCTACCCACGCGCTATTATTCATATGACGAAACATGGATGTGCGTTTATGACGCAACAGCCGGGCCAGTGTGATAAAATGTCATTATGAATTTACACTCGCGACAGCCTATAATTTAATCACTTATGGCTTCAAAATTAGAAAAACTATTTCGCCAACAATACCACTTTATTTTTTTGAACATTTCCTCGTTATGAGGGAATTTGTCATACAAACAAGCGGCATTACGTCATTTCTATTTCTTACATTTCGCTCCATCTCAGTCAGAATACCTAACACGTTGCACTCGCGTAGCGCTTCAGTGCGAGTAGAGGTCGTCAACTTGTAGTAGGTAGTCTGGCTGTGTCGTGTCAGTCCTGGGAGTGGAAAAAATGTCGGCTACTCGTCAAACGCCTCCATGGCAAGCTCCGAAATTAATCGAGGACAAAAAATGGAAGCTTCATTTGTACAATTCAATGACGAGAAGAAAAGAAGAGTTCATTCCGGCCAAACGAGTAGTTTCATGGTACAGTTGTGGACCAACTGTTTATGATCATGCCCATATGGGCCATGCTAGGTAAGTTTGCTTAGGAGGCTGGCGCCCGTGTGCTAGTTTCTAACATAACTTATTTATTACATAATTTAATATAATACATTTCATGAGAGTAATTGTAATACTATTTGTCGAATCAGTTTATTTCTATATTCATTTGGAGATGTGAGATCAATCATAGTAAGTTTTTACAGTGTTTACTAGTGAGTTAGCCACCTGTATGTAACTCAGACAAAAATGCCAGTGGATCTGGTAATTTTGTACATTTTTGCCCCTCCCTATAGACTTTTTCCTTATTCTTCAGTCAAGTTCAGTGAAAAGTAAGAGAAATAGCCTTTTTTATTTTTGACTTTCAAAAAGTACTTGTTAAACTGGGTATATCATTTTTACCTGCAAGGCTGCAATATTAGGAAACTTTGGCCTGATATCCCAAATTGGCAGTTAACTTGTAGATCATAAACAAAAACTATGTTATTCTTATCACAACATTACAGGGTAGAATTGTAAAATTAGTGGTTCAATTAAAAAAAGTGTTCTGCCTTGAAAAAAATGTTCCAGGCAACTAGAAACAGGTTTGTAGGCTGTCAGAAATCAGCCTTGGCAATCAGCATGAATGTTACATCAGGCAACACAGTGAAGGTCCCAAGATTGTTAATTGTGCATGACTGCACGTCACTCACGGATAAGCAAGAGGGATCTACAGAAGATATACTATCTACTCTTAATATAATGGTTTCAAATTAAATATTAATAAAACATTTATTGCACCTATTCTCTATGTCAGCTTTCAAATTGAGGATAAACTCATAGTCATCGGCAATCGGAAAAACTTCTTTAAGAAAGGCAATGCACAACATGACACTTGACTCAGTCAATCAGTTGACTGATTAGACAAGAGTACCATTAAAAAATTTAGCAATCAAACCTTAGATTCTGTGAGCCTTATGATTTCTTCATTATTAAAACTTTAGAAGGCTCACAATATATCACGTAAAGTTTTCACTCAATTATCATCTCTAAGTTTGGGAGCTTTATCTGCAGTTAATGCACTGTAGTTAATAGTTATATATACTACCTCGCCCACTGATTGCATCACAAGAACTAACAAGTAAATGCTAACCATCATTAGATTCCCACTGCCTTGGCTGTTGCACATGATTGATTCTGCATGTATAACATTTACAATTTATGAAGGTTATCGAACCATTCTGTTGAGTGTCAGTTACTGATAAATTTGTAATATAAAAGAATTTGTATCTATCATTTTTCACATGAGTATATTGGTGTTTGGTATTCCTGATCGAAAAGGAAGGAGTTTCCATGTCTCAGCTTATTGCATCAGTGGTCAGTTTTGTATTCGTGGATTGAATCATAGGCAGTTTTTCATGTATTTATGAGTGAATGTACATATAGTGAAGATGTTATTCTTTGTGATTTCCATCATTAGTGACATAACTACATTACGGTATTGTATTATGCACTTGAAATAAGAAGTGTAGCATTATGCATTAAATAAGCATCAGTGCATTAACATTGTATGCATTTGGGGCAGTCCATTCTAGCTTTCTAATGCTGATTGGATTCCAGTGGCTGTGACATTGCACACATGGTGGCAGGGAATTATTGTGAGTACTTATCGGTCCACCGCCGTGCGTCGGTCTTAACCCTTCGCAAGGCCCCATGCCCTTGGCCCTTGGGCCCTCTTGCAAGTTGTAATGGTCTAAACTCAACAGTTCGACCCCTGGAAAGATTTGAAATGATTTTGTATGAGGTTTTACTAAGGGGTAATTGGTTAATTTTGTTGGGTAAGATTCGGGGTAAATGATTGTGGTAACCTATGATTTAAGCTGTTTATGAAAAGTGTTACGGTAGGCCTATTGTCTATACTACTTAGATATATAAGACATAAAACTAGTAGGTCTATTGATAGTGCTGTGCACTGTGCTAATAGCTAGTACCTATCTGTCATGTGACTCTTCAATGTTTAGAAGATCTGCATTTCTGCAGTGTTTTTGCATATTGAAGCCAGTTAAATGGACAATATTTAGCTTGTTACCTTGCTCCATACAAATTTTACAAAGCTAATGAATAGGCTTATCAATAATTGTTTACCCAAAAATCCCTAAGTGGCCATTATTGAAGGCAATAAGTGCCCTTTTTAGCCATCCATTATGATCCATATACTGTTATTGTTAGTAGGCTAATTGCAACATAAAAAATAACCTTTCAAAAAGATAAAAAAGCTGAAAAAATGAAAAAATCATTGATTTTTTATTTTTATATTTTTTTTCAAAAATCAAAAAAGTCACCAACCCTGTCAAGAAGTCAGATGTTTGAAAAAATATTAGCTCAATAGTCTCACATTTATGTAATATTTAAGATTTACATTTAAATTTTTAATTTTCTAACATTCAAAGTTTCACATGACTGTTTTAAGTTTATCCTGAAGTCAAAACCATAGTTAAATAATTTCAATATGAAAACAAATTTCAATATTATCATTACCTTTTTTAGCGTATTTTCTCATTTATGGAAAAAATGCACTATTGTGCTTGCCATGTCCATCCGTCTGTTCATCTGTCTGTCTGTGCGTCCGTGCCATCACGTTTTTGTTGATGAAAAAATGCGCTCTAGGTCACTCACTGGAGTGAGTACCTACTGAGTTACGTTTTTAAAAATCTTAATGCTATGTGGTACCGTCAACCGGGGCTACTCGGGACAGGCCTCCGACACGGCATAAAACTGTTGTAGTAGCAAAACTAATTGGAATATTGCTAAACTAAAAATAGTGGCATAAACGTCAACATTTTTCCTATCTATGTAGTATAAAGGAAGTCGAAAAATACTACATTTACTTGATTTGAAAAATTCCTGAAAAAAATGGTGAAAAACTATATTTTGTAAAGTTATAACTGCTAAGGTATGTAGCAAAAAAATATTTGCCGTATTAAAAAATTTTACTTACATAAAAGTTGCACCCAGGTGTCGGCTTGAAAACGTAATTGACAGAATTTGCCTATCTCATTCCAAAAAGAAATGGCAGCCATTTCCGCACAGCGGGGCTACTCGGGACACCCCCCCGGGACTATTTGGGACACCCCCAAAAACGCATTTACGGTAGAACCTCAGTTAGCAAAGGCTCCAATTACAAAAAAAAATTGATTAAAAACAAAGAATATTGATCACATTTTCCTTGCTCAGCAAAAAAAAATTCACTTATTGAAAAATTAGTGCATCATCTGTCATCACAAAATTGTGCATAGCATGTCATGTATAGAATTGTGCACCAGGCATCATAGAATGAAAAGTAATTGACCTAAACTATGATTTATTTCTCCAAAAGATACGTTGGTTGTCACTGAAACATTCCTTTCTGTTTCAGGTATGTTTTTCACAATCTTTTTTACCATAGTAAATTCACTTAACCCAATTAAAATGATGTGAAATTACGAGCCGTCCTGTAAGCTTACAGATACAAAAAAAATGCCATAAGGCTGCTGATGTGAAGCTTGCAGTGGACAAGGTTGTTGTAAATGCTCAATGGCAAGTTCATGGATATGGTAATATTGCATCAATAATATGACGGTAATTAATGTATATGGCAAATATCAATAAAGGAAAAACGAGTAAAAATCACAGAAAATGTCGTTTATTCTACCTCTACATCATCTACAATGAAAGAGGAGGACTTCAAAGTACTGTTAGTAATGGATGAGTACGCTCTGCCTGCTTCAAATGTTTTGAAATGAAGTTTTATTCCCATTGTCCCGAGTAGCCCTGACCGACAGGGCTACTCGGGACAATCTTTATTTTGTGTCAGGCACCTTACGAATAGCATATGGAATTTTTTTGACAATGCCATTCGATTGCCCTCGCAAAGAGCTATAAAATGAGCCTAAATTTGTTTATGAAATGTTTCATCGTAAGAAGTTATTAACAGTTATTAACAAAAAAAACAATCAAATCTGTCCCGAGTAGCCCCGGTTGACGGTACTTATTCATATCATCTTGAATTAACAGCGCAAATGGACACTACAACCCATAATTGCAAATTATCTACTAGCACATCCACAAATAGGATCGGAAAAATTCTATTTCTTTAAAAAATCAGACACCATAGGCCAAAGACCAAAGCTAGACCTTTTTTTAATGAATCCCAAATCTCAGTGCTTGTTAGTCATATACTTTTATTTTATCAAAAATTTCATATCTCACCAATGAAATTTGATGTCCTGCAGTGTAGTTCCATTCTCCTTCCACCAACTTTTATGTGAATGCTTTCATTCAAGAATTTAATTGTTGCATTCATGCTACCCGACTCTTGCTCAAATTTTAAACTTGCAAAAGGTTTTGTTAGTGGTCTTATAGTAGGTCATGTCAGACAGGTTGCCAGCAGCAATGAAACTATAATGCATCATTGATTAAAACAAAAAAAAAAAAAAATGCTTCATAAGATGCTAAATTGCCTCTGAGATGACACAAAATGTTTCTCTTGTAATTTTTAGGGTAAGATTGTAGCTATTATACAAAATTTGCTATGTTTTCAACATTGAGTTTGATGATTTAGAAAATAGGTTTATGGCTTGAAAACTGAACTCAGGGCCACCAATTTGTTGAATCACAATAAAAAAAAATTCTTGGCTCAGAGAGGAGATCCTTTCAACACTAGACTGCAACTAGAGCAGTGGTTCCCAAAGTGGGCAATACCGCCCCCTTAGGGGCTGTGGAAAGATTTTGGGGGGGCAGTAAGGAAGAGAGCGGTGGGGATGCAATATAGGTGGGTGGTAGTCCAAAGTCAAAGTCAGAAATTCAAACGATGATTTGTTTGTTCGACGATTTGTATACAACATGTGCAGCACATGACTCCCAGCAATTGGTTTTGTCACCCAGATCTATTTTTTTAACCTCTCCTGGGTTTACGTCTCGGACAAAATTCCGGCTGGCCTCACTGCCAATTTCCAAATTCAATACCGGTAATCAAGGAATATCTCTCAAACTAATGAACTTGACTCGATGAAACTTTGTACACGTATTCATTAGGACGTAACAATAATGTTTAGTTTGTAAAAATTGTTTGAATTGTGCCATCTTTGTTTTTTGCCATAGTTATATGACAATAAGGGCTGAAATTCACAGTAATCAAGTAATTTCTTCCAAACCACAAAACAGATTCGTATGAAATTTTGAATTTGCAGTCCTAAATACTGAAAGGTAATGTTTAGCTTGTGAAATTTTTTTTGTGCCTTCGTTCGCGAGTTTATTTTTTTTTCATTTCACCTTCATTCGTGATTCACACAGCACTGCGAATTTCGACCTGTTTCACAATATAAGCGTAACTCACAAATGAAGGTGGAATTGAAAAAAATTACAAGCTAAACATCACCGTTAGGTTCTGATGAATACATGTTCTAAGTTTCATTGACCTGCGTTCATTAGTTTGGGAGATATTACTTGATAATTGAATTTGGAGATTGGTCGTGAGACCGGCCACGAGTCCGGCCGTAAATTCGCCCCGAGACATCCTAGGTTTCTAGTGCTGAAACAGTTAAAACAGCTGAAAAGCATATTGGTTCACTAAATGGGGTCCTATTTGTGAAATATACCTACATTTGTGTTCAACCTTTCTCTTTCAAAATTGCAGCGTACTAAATTTCAAGAAAGAGGTGTAGGTATGTCTGTGAGGGGCGCTAGAAATTCACTAGGGAGCCAAAGGAGGCAACAGGCTGAAAAAGTTTGGGAACCACTGAACTAGAGCGTTCCAATTTAGAACTAATGGCCATTTTTAGCACTACTAAATTTTTGCTGACATCAATGCCACTAAGTCACCGCACCACTGTAATGTTGCCAGCCTTTGATAGAAACCATCTTTATTATAAATAAAATTAAACAACAAGTTAATAACAAAATACAAACTGCTTTGTAGTTATATCAGTAATTGAGCCCTAAAAATTGTTCTCACCAGTACACATTATTTGGTTTTTATCCACAAGTGGCAAAAAAGTAGAAGACATTACACTCCAAGAGGTCTAAAACAGAAAAAAAGTTGTATATAGAAATGTGGACCTGAACTTCTAACCAAGCTTTAAGTTTAGGCTGGCAATTATATGGCTAAAGAATATTTAACTGAGCTTCATGTTTATTCTAGCAATTATATGGCTAGATTTGTAACTACCTGAGCCCTATAGCCACCTAGCAATGATCTCTTCAAATTAGGCATGTCAGCAGGAATGGCAAAAATTTTCTGATGTTCAAAAACAATTGCTGCAAATTTGTCAGCCAGAATTTATTTGTGAATTGTGACATTTAAATGAGAAATTTTAGCTATAATCTGATCAATTTTTAGGTACAATGGTTATTATATGGTAATTTTTTCCTTTTATCTTCTCCCAGATCCTACATCAGTTTTGACATCCTGAGAAGAGTGATGCAAGATTACTTCAACTACCCCATATTTTTTGTTCAAAATGTTACTGACATTGATGATAAAATCATCAAAAGAGCCCGGATAAACTATTTATATGGTGAATATAAAAAGTAAGTATGGGATTAACAAATATTAGACTCCTGTCATTCATAAAATGACTACATAGATTTAGCATCTCTTTGGCTGGGTGATAAACCTGTTGAAAAGATATCCACATTACAACCACAAATGGAGCCATGAATGCATCCTTGAAGCTTTATTACAATTTACCTAATTATGTTGTTTATAATTGTTTATAAAAGCCATATTTGTAATTTTGCCAAAAATTTTTTACTTTAGAGCTTCAATATTTCAGTGATAAACTTGCTTTTTCAATCTGGGGAATTACTTAATTTTTTTCAATCATTGATTGTCCAGTTTTTGCCTGCAATTATATGTGGATGTCTATGTATGATTGAAATGGCTGATGGAATAGCTGAAAATACATCATTATCACAATTAGAAAGCCTGGCTGTGTGAGCTTATAATGAGCTTGGATGTATGTGCCACACACCCGAATGACAAGAATTTTGTAATTCTTATGTAACTTGTAGTATACTTGTATACCTATTATACCTATGTACTGAAATTCTCTCTTTGATAACAAACAATATTGGCTCAAAACCTATGCTATACAGTGAGACAGCAACTGAATTTGTAATTCTGTCTTTTCTGAAATTTCAGTTATTATTTTTTAATATTATGTTTGTAAATTTGTTTCAGAATGGTCAATATCCAACTAATTTGGATATTTTTTATTTAATCCAGAGGTTAATGATTTTTTTAAAACTTATTTATCATTAGTTTCACTGTTTAGAAATAAATTTAGAAATGAAAACATTTCAAACAAAATGGATTCTGCCTTAACCAATGACATGATAATGATGTTTAACTTATTCATGTACAGTTTTTTTTTGTAATTATTAGCCACTTGCAAAAGATTTTTAAGAATTTTGGTATTCAGCCTATGAATTTATTGTCCAGCACCAAATTTATAAATGGTTTTTGGTTTCAGGGAACAACGTTCTCCTGACACTATAGCTGGGGATGTTATAGAAGCCTTGAAGTTACATCAAATAAGACTGGCTGCGTCAGATCCTGACAAGCACCGCATGCTCATGGATCAGCTCAACAAAGTGAGCTTTAGGGACATGTGATATTGTAGTTCCATCATATTTTCTTCTTGTGAAAAATTTAAAATTATTGTAATAATTCACAAGATTTATTATTCACTCCACAGCTACATATTAGTCCATTAATGTTAATCCTATTCATTTTGCCTTATTTGGGCTCTGCGTTACTGCAAAGTTTTTGTTATCATGTCACCTGATTGATCCTATTTTTAGAAAGTATAAATATGACTGAAGTAAGAATATGTAAATGATGATGTATTTTCATCAGTTGTTAGGCCTTATGCTTAGGTAAATTTTTTCCTCATTTTTATTATATTACTATATCTAGGTACTTCTAATGTACTGCAGTTCTAATTCCATGTAAGTTGGAAACCATCATTTTAAGGTACTCGGTATACTGTATTGTTTTGAGGAATGTTTTATTTTTCTGATTATTCCTCATAATCTTGCCGTAGCTTCCAGTTTTGTTGTTCAAGCTGCATGACACAGTAATTTGATGTCTCAATAAATGCTTGGATGTTCTCAGGTGAACATCTTCGCGAGCGCCCTGCAGAGCATCAGGCAGAACAGCAGCAGCACTCCTGAGCAGCTGCAGGATGCTGCTCTCGAGCTCGTGGTTGCTGCCGAGCCTGTCTTGGGAGAATGGCTCGATAAAGAGAAGGGCTCCACTGTCACTGATAATTCTCTCTTTCTCAATCTACCTAGACACTTTGAAAAGGAGTACAATCAGGACATGGAAAAACTAAATGTGAGTTACATTTTTTTAAAGGCTTCGGTATTGCACTTGACTTGCTCAAAAGCTCATGTTTGATTTACCTTAGAAGGATGTTATAATATTTATCTGTAAATTGCCAAGAATTTTTTTTCTTCTTTGCCACATAATACATCATACTTCATATCAAAAATAAGGTATCATATAGTTGTATGTCTATACCTATATATTTTCTTTGACTTAAACTATTAATTTATTCATTTTATTCTATGTTTACTAAACTAGAAACGAATTTTTTTTTATATGTATCATTATGAGATGAACCTTTTATTACAGAGATTGAACCCTTGACATGAAGTTTTCATTTGTTATTGATACTTTTAAATCTTTTCAGGTGTTGCCTCCAGACGTGGTCACTCGAGTGTCAGAATATGTGCCTGAAATTATTGCTTTTGTTGAGAAGATCATTGAGAATGGCTTTGCCTATGCATCCAATGGTTCTGTTTACTTTGATGTGGCGAAATTTGATGCTGAGCCGAACCAGTATTATGCCAAGGTAACTCTTTTTAAAATGATTTTTGCCTTCTTTGAGTTGTAGCAAATCTGTAACCTGAATTCTCAAGCTTTTAATTGATTAGGAAATCTAAAACCAGTTGGTTCCTTCAACTAACCACTTTTACTGATTAATTTTGTATTTGACTCAACAATGATGTTATCCCTTGTGTTATCAGTTGGTGCCAGAGGCTTACGGCAACCAGGCTGCTCTCCAAGAAGGTGAGGGAGACCTCTCTGTCGGGGCAGACAGACTCTCGGAGAAGCGAAGTCCTAACGACTTTGCCCTCTGGAAGAACTCTAAGCCTGGGGAGCCTGCATGGCCATCGCCTTGGGGGAATGGACGTCCTGGGTGGCACATTGAGTGCTCCGCCATGGCTGGAGAAGTGAGCAAATTATTCAGTTTTTTAATTACTATCTATCAAAATTAGTCTTGGACGTCACTCAAAGTATTTGTCAACTATGATTTTCCCTACCTACTGTTGATTGTTAAAAATCTCATTGGTGATCTTAGTTGCTCATAATTTCCAGTGCTCTTGGATATCCCTCCTTAACTAGGTAAATTGTAATGAACATCATCTTTTGATTTACTGGTATCTGTTGATTTCAGGTTCTTGGGTCACAAGTTGACATCCACAGCGGGGGCGTCGATCTGAAGTTCCCACACCACGACAACGAACTGGCACAGAGTGAAGCTCACTACAAGTGCTCTCAGTGGGTGAGTGTGACCCACCTTTATAGCGAATCAAGGGACTATCTGGAGATTTTTAAAGATGTTGATACCTGGAGATCAGTAATGTCCATTTAATTAATTTGTACCCCTCTGCAAACAACCAAGCCTCTATAAAGCTGGACACTGGTCTGAAGCAAATTAAGACAATATTGTTAGTTACTGCACAACACCTAACTACGTCCTGTGTACGCCCTTTTTATTAAACATTTGATCATGTGCATTGATATTCGAGTGATTGGTCCACAATCTGTAATTTTTTTATTATTACGTCGATATTGAATAATGTAAATAATAAACAGAACTGTTACAATACAAACAGTTTTCTTAAGATTTTTTAAGCCCTGATAAACATTTTAAACTTAGCATATGACTACTGGTGAACTCCTCCAAAAGAGTAGGTATGCTGTTCGTACTGTAGCATAAAGGCTTTGATCGGTTTCAGATCACGTACTTTCTGCACACTGGTCACCTGCACATCGATGGCTGCAAGATGAGCAAAAGCCTGAAAAATTTCATCACGATTGGCGATGCTCTGAAGCAGCACTCGGCGTCGCAGCTGCGCGTAGCCTTTCTACTGCACCACTGGAAGGACACGCTCGACTATAGCAGGTCAGATAGAATGATAATTTTTACACTAAGTGAAAAACAAATAGTGAGCGTTACAAACTGTATCTAGTAAAACTTGTTAAAGAAGTGTCAAAGATCCTCAGTATTAGAAAACGAAAATTGACTTCAATTCACTTAAAGGCAGATCATTCATTGTAGCATTACTTGTAGTTATTTTTCCTTTAAAACCTATGCCATTGCTCGAATTAAATAACGTCAGCGCCCAATGCCTTAACACTACTTCCTTCACGACCATTACTGTCGCATTGATAATTTTTTCTCCATATCTACCATTATTGGTGTCACTAACATTAGTTATTTCCCATGTAGCAACACAATGGAAGGCGCGCGTCAGTATCTGAAGATGGTGACCGAGTTCATGCTGAGCTCCAAGGATGTCATACGGCGCTGCGGGCCCTCGTCCACCATCTGGCAGGCTCCTGAGAAGACTTTGAACGCCGCCTACGACCGCACTCGGTGAGGCGCCGAGAATAATATTAGTAGACAACTCAGGAGTATTGCGTGGGTCGCGACCAGGCATTGCATCGGTCATAACCTGGTACGTATTGCATGGTTCATAACGAGACATTGCAGACGGACATGACGAGCACAATAGTGCATTTTTTTCATAAATGAGAAAATGCGATAAAAATCAAACAGCGAAAAGAAAACATGTCAAGACAACGTAATGATTATGCAAAACGATCTTACTAAAACTTTGCGCAAGCACGATTTTAGCACATGTCACTGAAAGTTCTATCAAACGCTTATGGCTTCATCGATCTGTCTGATTTTTGGTGGAGAAATGGAGAAAAACATAGGGAACAAATCCTGACCTTCCAAAATTTTTAACTCTATTACTTTTCGAGTTACAGACATTCAAAGTTGGGTATCGTTTTTTTTTGGGGACACCCTGTATAGGCACTGCACGTTTGCTAAAGATATCAATCACAGTTAGAATGTAGTTATTAACTTGATCAGAATACTTCTGCATGTCAACTAAATTTGCCTGCTATTGATCATCAAACTTTGCTACTTCGATTCTAAGTGTGTTAGAATTATGTTTTATAGGTTTATGTAGAGTGCATGTTTCCAGTGACTACAACGAATTCATGACTTGTTCTTGAAAAGAACTGTTGCGAACATGTTCATTTATACTCATGTAGCCGGTTTAGGATTGTAATAAATTTCATTCAAAATTGCACCACTCACTTCTCTGAGTGGGCTTCTACGTTTTTTGATACTCTAAGACCTACATATTTTTCCAGTCACTTTGCCATTAACTAATTTTAAGTCAGTTCCAATATGTTCAGACTCATTTGGAACTATCGCAATTTCAGCCGCTGTCTTCGCTAGGATATCATCAGACTTGTTTCTGTTTTTAGTTCTTGTATGCATATTATAAAATACATCTGCAAGCTCTATCCAATGAAATAACTCCCTTATATAACCTTCATTCAATCTTTTTTGTACTTTTTTGCCAGGGCCACAGAAGGAGTAGGTGTGCTTATCATTAAAAAACCGTTGGGAACCTTCTCAGATTTAATGTTGAATGGTAATTTTAAATGCATTTCTGGCAGTGGTAATTTCCTCAACATTGTGTTAAAAATACCGCTCCCAGTTTTTTCATTTTGAAGAAATGATTTCAGCTGGTTTAAATATTCACTATTATCGGTTGATAGTAGCTGAGGATAGTTTATTAATGCATGCTTTTTATTGTGGACTGTCATTTTTATTACATTATTTTACAAAATACTTTTAAAAGACTCGATGCAAGTCCATCGAATTTCTTAGAAAACATTTATCACGATATAACAACGAACGATCCGAAATTTTTATCAGGAATATAACATCCGAAATAATTCAAGTAATTAAGCAAAAAAATATAATATTAAATTACGGTTGAATTTACAAGTCGAGTTCTATAAATTATAGGTAATTAGGCAGTGAGATAAGCATAATACTGCTTGTTTCAACTATAACGAATTCATTGATGTTTCTAGGATTCACAATAATTGAAATACAATTAAAGGACTGTTTAATAATTTGATGCAAAGAATTGAAGGATTTACAAACAACTGAATGTTTTTAATGTTGACTGTCATTTTTATCTTAATGAATATTAGAAAAGTTGCTATATGTACTTCACAATTTAAATTGTTCATTACAAACTTTTAAGAGGTTCTATCTATATTGAATTACCAGAAGAAATGAGACATCCTTATAAGATAATAAACATTAAAACCCAAGATAATATATGTGCTTCACGTGAACGGTTGCGCACCATTTCTGCAGAAATGAAAAAAATAGTAATAGAATACCTAAAATATTAAAGAAGAAAGCTGAAGAGTTGGATTTTACAAATGTCGAATTCTCTATGAAAGTTAAAGACATCTATAAATTTGAATATATGAAATAATATGTTTATAAATGTATAAAGCTTAAATTATTGTTTGGGGCTGTGCTCAATTCAAATTACAAAAAAAAATACAAATAAAAAATATAAATTAGAAGTAACGGTGTAATTTCAGTATTGTATAGAACAAATGAGAACGAAAGTCATCATGTCCTGATGAAGTCTTTAAGTCCATTTATTTACAAAGCGAGTCATATTACTATATATGTTTATCCATCCTGCTTGTATGCGTTCATACGCGGGGACCTATATTAACAAAAAAATAAAGACGATTGCTCAATTCATTCGCCCACCATATATGTTTCTAGTGATGAAAAACGAAAATTCAAGGCCTTCCAAATTACTCTCAAACATCTCTTTATAATTTATGCTGATTTTGAATCGGCTTTTATAGCAGGTATTGATTCATGTCAACAGATCCAAAATCGAATTAAACGCGAAATATTCAAAAGCATGAGCCTATAAAAGTTTCTGTTGTTATACCAAATGCGAATATGATAGGTAATCAAAGTGTGAATTATATAATGGTGAAGATGCATCTGAAAAATTTGTAAAATATATAGAAGCAGAAAGAAAACTTGTATATGAATTATAAAATCAACATCCAGAAAAGATATTTTTATTTGCTGAAAAATACCAAGAACGCTGAAATGCCGCAGTTTGTTATGTCTGTCATGTTTACTGAAGAAAACTATGAGATTAGAGATCACAATAATCTAACGGGAAACTATGGAGGCCCAGTGCAGCTAAAACGTTTTCTATGAGCGTTTGTTTGTTCATGTCTTTTCAAGTTTTGATAATTGCGATTACATATAACGCACTTTGTTTTTGTATTGAAGTAAGCATTTGATATGATCGAATTGTTAATTGCTTTACGATGCTTCTGAGTTTCTATATGTTTCTTTAAGTTTTTAACCAATGTGTTACAAACTTCACAGTGACTCATGCTGACAATATTTGCTTCCATTTTACTTAAGAAATTTATCCAAAGAGATTTCGTATTCAATGTGTATTTTTTCGCATGATTTACATCAGATGATTTATCAACTCCCATTTTACTTAAAAAATTTGGGTTTTGGTACTTAAGGTGTGTTTTTTCGCGTGACATACATTAGATGATTCGTTAGCTCTCATTTTATATAGAAAAAAATTTACTTAAAAAATTTGGGTTTTGGTACTTAAGGTGTGTTTTTTCGCGTGACATACATTAGATGATTCGTTAGCTCTCATTTTATATAAAAAAAATTAGAAGCACATTGAAAAATTCTTTTATTCTAATACATTTATTTGCTCTTAATATGTTAACATTGAATAAATAAGAATTATTTAACTGGTTAAACGAGGTAATGCATGCTCTGACTTTGCAGAACTCAAGGGAAGCATCTGTTCAAAATCGAAGATTTTGACTTCTCCGGTTTTATGCTCATAATAAAGCTGAAATTGACGAATTCAACGTTGTCAAAATCATCTTATTACCCCCGAAATCATCAGACAAGGGGAGTTATTTTCGATTTTTGATCTGCGGAAAATTCATGAAAAATGCTCACCCCACCCACAAGAATAAGAATTCCGAAGAACCGTCTGCATCAGTTTTAGATATGGTCTTTACGCATCAAATGATATGTGTCTCGATGTTGTACCTTGAAAATCCTAGGAGGAGATAGATTTCTACGGTACCCCCTTCTTTTGGCCGTTTTCTAAAAATTTCACGTTTTCTTCCATTTTTTCGAAAAATTCACATGAACAAAGAAATCTTAGATTTCTGTTTTACATATGTGTACCAAGTTTTAGAGCGATCCGTTTGTAAATAGCCGAGATAAATTTTATCCCAGACGCTCCCCTTCGAATGACATGCGTCTCGATGTAGTAGCTTGAAAATCCTAGGAGGAGATAGATTTCTATAGTATCCCTTTCTTTGACCGTTTTCTAAGTGGCGCACGCCGTGCGCCGCGTTAATCACCGCCTCACAGCTCCTTCCATGTCTCCACCCATTGATGTAACGTAAGACCTGCAAAAACCTCAGGAGGTGCTTGGGATCGAACCCTGGGCTAGCGACTACCAAGATGCATCGCTAGCCACTTGACCATCGTGGTGATAGCGACTCAAAGTAAAATCTAGCTTTTCTATTACCTATAGTTTGGTAGCATAGAATTTTCAGATATTATATACAAACTACATTAGTTCGATAGCACATACAAAGGTATTAATGGGTATGAGACTGTTGTTGCAGGAGAGAGAGAACCGTGGTAATACTATGAGAAATGAGAGTCATAGCTAAAAATCCAGTTTTTCAATGAGCTGTATCAAAAGAAAATGAAGTGGCCTTCTGAATTAAATAGCGTAACTATGTTAAACTGAGGTTCTTATTTGCTCTGTAGATTCTTCCGTACGAGATCAATAAGTAGAGATTGCCTTCTGAAATATCCTCACTCGACGGGAGTTCAGTGCTTAATGTATAACAGATCAGCTAGCGGTCGAGGGTAAATACAGTATTTTTTAGAACACTCTCGATATTAGCGCGCGATGCATCCTACCTCTGCCAGACCGGTCCCGGATCTGGAGCGAGTTTTTGTGGAGGATAATTTAAGAGCGCCTTTAACTACCAGCTGATGTGCACCATGAAAAAAGACTGACTCAAGGTTTCAAGCTGGTTTGACTCAAATGACTAAAGCCTGGTAAATGACTCGAATGATACAATCGGGGTAAATGATCGTTAACTCGTGATTCGGGAGTAATTGCTTAATTTTGTTGGGTAAGATTCAGGGTAAATGATCGGTAGCCTGTTAAGCTGTTTATGCAGATTCGGGGGTAATTGGTTAATTTTGTTGGGTAAGATTCGGGGGTAAATGATTGTGGTAACCTATGATTTAAGCTGTTTATGGAAAGTGTGACGATACACCCCTTATCTATACTACTATTACTATTTTAAATTTATTTTTCGCATTCATTGTTCAATGTCTCATGATTACATCTTAAAAAATTAAATTGTATGCTCTGGCAATATCCCGGCAAGAAGTATTCTTGATATAAAAGGGATTAATCCTGTTATGAATACTTCATATCTTAATGAATAGTTCGTGTAAGAATTAGCGTCTATTTAGCCACACATTCGCACTTATATCGTTAATATCGTTGAAGGGTTCCTGCACAAATTCATACATTTTATTTCGGTTATGTAACGTAATTAAGCCAAGTGACCATTGTAAATTCTTGGGATATTCTGTGGCCTTGCCACTTCATTTAAGATGTGAATTTCGGCGAGCAACTTTCTCGAGATCTGTCACAGTTTATACCAAATATAGTGCACCACAAATCGCATACGTGTGGATACGTAAGACATGCATGGATGGAATAAATTTTTCGAATAATCAAGCCTTGATTTGCGTAGTCTCTTTTACTCTTTAGTGCTCTGGAATTGGTTAATAAAGCGGTTGCTGCAGTCTTCAATTGACGTACGTCGATAGCACTGTTGCAAAGTGACGCGTTGAGTGTGGTTAGCTTGCCAGTCACTGCGCTGCGGCGCGAGGTTCGAGCCTTGCCAATCATAGCGCTACGGTGATTAGTTAGCGCCTTGCCAGTCACTGCGATGCGGCGTATGGTTCGTGCCTTGCCAGTCATTGCACAGCGGTGCGCAATATGGAATATGTATTCAGAAACTGGTAATAGACATTTTATTTGTTGTGGCCTCTCGATGGCAAATAGGTTCGACCTTTAATTTTCCAGTACGAAGCGATGTCAATCTCGTCGCCTTCAATCTTATTATATCACGTTTGCAGTAGCACCACGACCAACGAATTTCTCGCGTACTTTTTTCTTCTCGAAGTAACCTAGTTTTTCCGATGATTCGGTACGCGGCTAATTTAAATGATCCATTAGTGTCCTCTATTTTATGTCGATATACTAGGTAAATTGAAACAACATTTCGTATGCTACGTAAGTTAATAATCCATCCTTTTCGATTTGTTACAGAAACAGCTTCTTAACCAAATAAATTTCCTTTATCGGATCAGGTTTCTATATGTTTCTTTAGGTTCTTAACTACTGTGTTACAAATTTCACAATGATTCATGCTGACAATATTTGCTTCCATTTTACTTAAGAAATTTATCCAAAGAAATTTCGTATTCAATACGTGTTTTTTCACATGATTTACATCAGATGATTCGTTAGCTCTCATTTTATATAGAAAATTTATCCAAAGGGTTTTGCTACTTACGGTATGTTTTTTCACATGACATACATTAGATGATTCGTTAGCTCTCATTTTATATAGAAAAAAATTAGAAGCACATTGAAAAAATTCTTTTATTTTAATACATTTATTTGCTCTTAATATATTAACATTAAATAAATAAGAATTATTTAACTGGTTCAACGAGGTAATGCATGCACCAATTGTGCAGAAGTTAAAGGGAGCATCTGTTCAAAATCTTTCGATTTTGGCTTTTTCGATTTTTATGTTCATATTAAAGCTGACATTGACGAATCCAACGGTATAAACAAGTAATGGTGATACCAATTGGTGGGGGTAAAATGAAAAAAATCCGAAAAATTCATGAAAAATGCTCCCATACCTACAAAAATGAGAATTTAAAGAAAAGCCTTCAACAACTTTTAGATATGGTCTTTACGCATCGAATGATATGTGTCTCGATGTTGTACCTTGAAAATCCTAGGAGGAGATAGATTTCTACGGTACCCCCTTTTTTGACCGTTTTCTAAAAATTTTACGTTTTCTTTCATTTTTTTCGAAAAATTCACATGAACAATAAAGTCTTAGATTTCTGTTTTACATATGTGTACCAAGTTTTAGAGCGATCCATTTGTAAATAGCCGAGATAAATTTTACCTCAGACGCTCCCCTTCGAATGACATGCGTCTCGATGTAGTAGCTTGAAAATCTTAGGGGGAGATAGATTTCTATAGTATCCCTTTCTTTGACCGTTTTCTAAGTGGCGCACGCCGTGCGCCGCGTTAATCACCACCTCACAGCTCCTTCCATGTCTCCGCTCACTGACTTGAGACCTGCAAAAACCTCAGGAGGTGCTTGGGATCGAACCCTGGGCTAGCGACTACCAAGACGCATCGCTAGCCACTTGACCATCGTGGTGATAGCGACTCAAAGCAAAATCTAGCTTTTCTATTACCTATAGTTTGGTAGCATAGAATTTTCAGATATTATATACAAACTATATTAGTTCGATAGCACATACAAAGGTATTAATGGGTATGAGACTGTCGTTGCAGGAGAGAGAGAGAAACGTGGTATTACTATGAGAAATGAGTGAGTCATAGCTGAAAATCCAGTTTTTCAATGAGCTGTATCAAAAGAAAATGAAGTGACCTTCTGAATTAAGTAGAGTAACTATGTTAAACTGAGGTTCTTATTTGCTCTGTAGATTCTTCCGTACGAGATCAATAGGTAGAGATTGCCTTCTGAAATATCCTCACTCGACGGGAATTCAGTGCTTAATGTATAACAGATCAGCTAGCGGTCGAGGGTAAATACAGTATTTTTTTAGAACACTCTCGATATTAGCACGCGATGCATCCTACCTCTGCCAGACCGGTCCTGGTTCTGGAGCGAGTTTTTGTGGAAGCTAATTTGATAGCTCACTCAGCTAGCAGCTGGGGGCGCGCCATGGAAAAAAACTGACTCAAGGTTTCAATCTGGTTTGACCCAAATGACTCAAACCTGGTAAATGACTCAAATGACTCAATCGGGGTAAATGATCGTTAATTCATGATTCGGGAGTAATTGATTAATTTTGTTGGGTAAGATTCATGATCGGTAGACTGTTAAGCTGTTTATACAAATTCGGGGGTAATTGTTCGTAATAATATTGAAGAAGGTTTTATTCGGGAGTAATTGGTTAATTTTGTTGGGTAATATTCGGGGTAAATGATTGGTAAACTATAATTTAAGCTGTTTATGGAAAGTGTTGTGGTAGGCTCGGTCTCTATACTACTGTCAGTCTGATCAAAGGAAATTTATATCAAAACATCATTAAAGACTAACAAGTTCCTTTCCGATTATTCAACATCGAGGAAGTGATATAGGTAATAGTGACTGAAAAAGCAGAGAAAATCACTTGTATTTGTATCGATGACAATGCTGATGACACTTGATATATATTACAAAGTATGCATCAGTTAACGTTATAGTATTAGCTATAAAGAAACTTGGTTTCACGTTTCCAGAATCAATAAATGGAATTTTGAATCACTAGAGTACAAGATAACCATGTGGTCTTTTTAGCAGCAATTTTCTCAAGTAAATCGATTTATTCAATTATGCGTCCTGCTCGAGAGCGTCGCCCTCAGTCAAGTAATGGACAAAGTCATTGAACAGCATTGACTGACCATTGACTGACCGATTCTCTTTGCTTATTTCCCCAAGGAATGGCGCCCCTACTGGCCACGGTCCAAAACCAAGTCCGTGTACTGCCCTCCCATTCAAGTGAAGCTCATCAGGAGACTGCGGGCAGAGTTCTTCATCTCCCGGGACTTGGAGCTCTCAGATGTGAGTTCGCGATGGGATGCTTATGGTATTCCATCGATCAACGGTACTTTTTGGGAGCAGTACTAATTGTAAACATTTGCCAAAGCACTACCTACAATGAATTTAGTCAATTTACATTTTTTTATATTTCCGCGCGTATGGTTGAAAACAGATTTAGGTTTTTATCATACGTTTTCTTAAAACCAGAGTGCGAAGACAACAAAAAAACTCTTCGCAAATGTTCAATCTTCATAGCCGATCTTTGAAAATATGAGTAAAACTGAAAATAATTCCATGAATTGACTCGCCATAGATAACTATGATAAATATAAAGAACATAGAACATAGAGAGAGCAAGTCATCGGCAGCACGAGAAGATTTGAGTGAATATTTCAGATGTATGTACTAGTGAAAGACATGCAAGCAAATACGACAAAAATGTAAGTGCCTGTGACTGACATAAATGCATAATCAAACGTATAGTGTGTTTCTCAACGTAAAGCATTTCTATCATCAATCGTTGGGGATTTTGAAATTTTAAATGATTAACATTAGATATATTCTCATTCTTCTAATGAATTAATTTCATTGTTTAACTATATGATAAAGACGAAAAATTGGCTGTTATTTAGGGAAATCTTTACGAAATTCAAGTATTACCACAATATCATATTTTACTAGATTTACGAAATAATGTAGGAACAAAAGCAATAGCTATCTAAATTAGTATTTTCTTATATTACCAAACTTTCTTGAAATCAATAATTTCATTATTTGCTATCTCAGTCTTAGTTTTTCCTTTAGTTACTTGAATGATAGTCATTGAAGATAAATACAGCTGATTCAAAGGGAGGACTTGTAAATACAGGTAAACAAATTTTTTAGTACAACTTCAATTTGTTTACATAATTTCCTGGGTATTGGTCGTCATGAGTACCCAAAATTCAATGGAATGTTGGCGAAGTTAATCGCTCATTGACAACGTTTTTAATTTCAACCCCAGGGCGAAAGCAAGCACGACGTGCGACAAATTCAGCTCACCAAATGGACAGATGACTCAAGCTTCAGGCCTTCTGACCTCGTTGGTTTTCTTCATAAAATTCGCCAAAGCCTGCCAGAAGGACCAAGTAATGTGGTTGCCCACTGCAGGTGGGTAACGTGCAATAGAATTCACGAAACCCTTGCACCAGAACCAATAGCTTACCAATTAGTTGTTATTTTTAGACATCTTCTTTAATTGAAATGATTATACAATTAAAATAGTGTTCAATTAATGTGTCAGGCTTGAGCTAGGCTTTCGCTCTTCATTTGATTCGTCAGTCAATAGGAGAAATTGAAAATCATAAAAATTAAATCCAATTAAATCGGGGATACTGATGTCTGTGAGCAGTAACGGTAGTGGACGTACAGGAGTTTTATTCGGGCTGTGGAACCTGCAACTGAAGGCAAAGGAACCTGCAGAGTTTTCCTCTGCAGAAGTTTATGTTATGGAAGTGATTTTAAACCTGCGCAGGAACAGAGCACACATGGTGGATTCACTCGTGAGTAGATGATGTAAATCAAATGTGAATCAACATGATGATTTAGATGTAAATCAACATTCACAGCTCTAATTTTTTTCTCGAAATATCTTTCAATGAAAGTGGTATGATATTAAAAATGTTTTAGCTGAACTTCTTACTCGAGTCTTAAGGTTCTGAAAAAATTTGACTTACTTATACGAAAAATTGAATGAAAATCCGAAGATAAATAGTTTCAATTCGTAAATTTTGATTCGTAGTTATGTCAAATTCTTATACCTTAAATTTTGCGCATCCTTCACAGGAAAAGGCGGAAAGTCTGGTCATGGCTTTCATTTATTATCTCAAGCTTGTAGTCAATACAACTGGAGGTGGGTGACTCAATACTTGTTTTTTCAATACCCACTCATTAATTTGTTTCGCACGAATAAGAGGGAATTTAAATAGTTTCATCACCGTGTGAAGATTCGGGTAATTTCTAAACGATATTTTGAGTCGGGGAACTATTTTGTAAATTTTGTGCAAAATATCGAGACCAATAGAAAGATGTTGTGATAATCTTGCACTCCTAGTAACTTATTCAATATAAACATTTGATCGATATTTTTAATTAATTTCGAAGTACAAAGCAGTAAAATTTACATTTCTCATCATCTCAGGAATCACGTTCGACCTGGCAGGGAATGATGACCTCCTATCACAGCTCAGTATGGCTTCCATTGATGATGGATATCAAAACACGTACACCGGGGAACTGATTGCCAGTAGCAGAACTGGGGACACCATTGATGAGGCAAGCCCACTAATGAATCAAGAACCACTTGCCCATTTGCCAGCATCGCGTCGTCTCATTTCACAGAGCCGCTTGTCTGCTGTAATTTATGAGCCGGTGAATCCTCCACACACTGAACCCATTCAAGCAGCAAATCTGCCTGACCGAAAACCATGTGGCCCGAAAATTCAAGACAAACCTGGTGACAATATTACGTCTGGGAAATGTGAACCTGTACAAACGCAAAATTCTATTTCAGTTCAGAGTCGCCCTTGCCGTGCGTCGGCGCAAGTGATAACATCTATTGCTGAACATAATGCGATGGTCGTCACCGAACCATCTAACGCAGAGGTAGATTGTTATGAGATGTCCCCAGTTACTTCTACATTTCAACAAACTGTCGGCCAAAACAATGAATGCAGCACCAATGAATCCATCCGCGAAGAAGCTGCGCACCCAGCGATTGCAGAGGTTCCCCACTCATCTTCCTCTGTAATAATTACAACTGGTCAAACAAGGGGACTCCAGAGGTCTCAATTACCTCCATCCATGAAGAAGCGACCACTACCACGTATTAACAGAAAATAATCCTATAACTAATATCCTAACGGCCAATGACATGTCATATAACAATTAGGGAAAATGTGAAAGGGACTTGAACAATTGCGCCTATTGAATGAAAAATTTATTACTTTTCACGCAGTTTACATCGCAATTGCTTGAATTAAAATATTTATTGTTGTTAGTTAATCCTATAATTTTGCAACAGATTAGCTGAAACATTGTTTCATATGAAGGATTAGAATTAGCACATAACATGGAACAAATTCCCTGTTTCTTAAAATATTGAACCCAAAAAAGGCAAAATTTGAGTCCCACTCTGAATGAAAAATATGTGAGCATATGTATCTGAGAGGATTGGAAGATTGAACGTGATTCAAAAGACATTCAAACGCGATGAGTGTCTTTTCGGAGATCAAACATGTAAAAAAACTCTGGATATATCAACAGCCAAGGACGTAGGATCGTCAACTAAGGACTGTTATGTTTGATCTGTTCAGCTGTGGCAATGTGTGACTGAGAAGCGAGCTAATTTTAAATTGATTGCATTTAGATATTGTTCCTTATTTAGATATTTGATTAGATATTGCTATATTTGTTTCGTGGTGGCAATATGCGACTGAGAAGTTAGCTAATGCTAAATTGGTTGCATTTACATTCACACCGATGATTTCATAATAAAATACTGATTATGAAATGATTGATTTCGTAATAACCCTACGAGTGGTAGCTCAACACTCAAACACAGGAGCGCTACATAAAGAAATATATTCATAGTATTTTTGCTCACGAAATTCTCGTAACTCTCGTTCAGTACTTTCTATACAAAATGATATACAGTAATGATTCTAGAATCGTCTCTTTATTCTGATGGCGATTCCGAGAGCAGATGGAGAACCTAGGCGTGCAATCTTCTAGTTAGAAGCGGACAGCATCGTCATCGTCAGCCGAGTAAAAATTACCGCTAACTTCAGCACCGTTTAGAGTTGTCATTGTCGGAATAGCGCCTTCCGCTGCAGTTGCATCAGATGCTATCATTCGGATCCTGTTCGTAGCGGTATAACACATAAGTGCCACCGGCTGACGGCAAATACAGCCAGACTTAGGGTACGTACACAGTGAAAGCAGGTTGCCAGCGTGCTGGTTACCTGCTGCGGCAGGCTCCTGAAACAAGCGCGAGAGGGTGTTCACAGGGGAAGCAGAAAACCAGCTGCGACCTAATCAGTGCTCTGGGTGAGGAAGTGTATTATTAGTGTATTTTATTATTGTACTTTATAGTGAACTTAATTGGTGTACTTTATAAGTGTATTTTATTAGTATATTTTATTAGTGTATTTTACTAGTGCTTTTTGTTGGTGTATTTTTATTAGTGTATTATATTAGTGTATCCATGATTTCACAATAGGCTCATCTGAGGTACGAAATAATTCATATGAAATAAAGAAAACGGAGGGTTTAAAGGTACAACTAATTCAAAAATGACCATATGCCAAGCAGGTTTAGCAGATAAGAATGTGATGTACATTCCGGTAAATAGGTATAAGCAAGTTGTCGGCAGAAGCCTATTCGTACAGGTTTTCACTGCGAACACTTACATTATTATCCTATGTTCATTCTTGTGGCAGATTGGAGCAGGTTACCCGCGCGGGCAAACCTGCTTTCACTGTGTACGTACCCTAAGAATATTTCAGCCTCTGAGTGATATGCAAACACATTTGGCATGCGTCGTCGTTACAACAAATTAGTTTTCATCAACGATTAGCATATAGAACGTCAACATTTTTGTATCGCTGAACAAAAACTATACAGATATTTTCTCTTATTTATTGATATTGGATATCGTGCAGGCCCAATGACTATTCGGAGAACCTAAAGAACTTCATCTTCGTGAACCCCAGAAACGAAAGGTTCAATTATATAAAAATATTCTACGTAATCTTAATGAGTTGCCTGTGGCGAACAATTCGTTGCAGAGAACTTCGATTTCCGTTGCTCGTCCAACTAATTTACAATGAGTCCGTCCCAGACTCTCACCATTGATACCCGAATCAGCAGCTATATTTATCACCACTGTACGTAATCTCAAGAGTACGAATAGTGCTTTATCTTATCTTCGCTCTAATAAAAAATGAGTTGGTTTAAGATACATTATTTTATAAAAATATGAAGAAAACCGACGAATGCTTTCAAAATACATAGATTAGATAAGTCCAAAAGAACATCGCATTCATGCGGGTTCATACTAGTATGACGGGATGCTCATTTCGTGGTATATTTTTTTTTATTTGTACGTTCTATTAATCCTGTGCTAGGTTAGTGACCAGTCAATTGATGTAACATTTATTTTGTGACTGAAATAAGGAACTTCATTTAACTGTGATATTATTATTTTGTTAACTAAAGGGTTTAATTTATGACTAAACAATGTGTAAACGAATATGTATTTCGTGACCGTAACATGGAAACTTNACCCGTATCCTTGCTGTCCACTCCTGTAAGGTCACCAGTTTTGTGGTGCGGCTCGTACCCGTACCCTTGCTGTCCACCCCTGTAAGGTCGTCAGTTTTGTGATACGGCTCGTACCCGTATCCTTGCTGTCCACTCCTGTAAGGTCGTCAGTTTTGTGATACGGCTCGTACCCGTATCCTCGCTGTCCACCCCTGTAAGGTCGTCAGTTTTGTGATACGGCTCGTACCCGTATCCTTGCTGTCCACGCCTGTAAGGTTGTCAGTTTTGTGGTGCGGCTCGTACCCGTATCCTTGCTGTCCGCTTTTGTGGTCCTCAGTGGTTTATTAGGATTCTTCGACGTTGTATTCCTGAGGCTGAGACTCTGTTTCCCGGAGCTTTTGGACCTGATAAATTGTGTGCCTTGTATAAAGGAATTGTGTATCGCCCGAAGATCACCAATACATTAAGAAAAGTTCCTCGTGTTTATTCCTCCTCTCTCCAAACGCAAGGGAATTTAGAGCCGGACCAAAGAGCGACTCTTTAGCCCTTGTGTTAAAACCAATAAGCAAGTCACCGTCAAGTCGGCACGCTACCCATAACTATTTCGACTTCGCGGCGGTGTTTCCGGTCACACTAGCTATTTTAAATGTTCTTGTAAGAGTGCGACAACACAGAACGAGCTAATACGTGGTATAGACGTGAGATAAACTCAATGCTCCGCTTTAGCATTAATTCTTTACTATTTAGGACGGTTATTGATATTTTACAAAATATGGACTACACGTACATTAAATTCGGAAAAAATACAAACTGGATAGACCCTCAAGAAAATCCGCTTGCACCTAGAAAACGAGCTACGCAGCGCAACCAGATATCTGTGATAACATTTATGAAATGGAGAACGTTTGATGGGCTTGTGAACAGAAGAACATACTACTACAATTTCAAGAACGTATTCTTGCTTCAGTATTACATTACAAAATAGCCATAAGTTTCTGTCTACTGTTAAGCCGGAAAACTGAAGTATCAGTCATTCAGCTGAGATATGTTGCGTCTCAGTAAATTGAGTGCATAAGTAAGTCTAATTATTTAACTGGTTATCATATCATCCTTATCATGACTCGAAGAATCCGAAGGTGTAAGTCTACGAACAAATTAAAACTTCTTATCTCCATGCAGCCTGAGGTTCAGTATACACGTTGGCAGTGTATTCAGTGAACGTGCAGCACATGATAGGTGTTTCTTGAGGTTATATTTTTATTCTTATAATGCGTTATATTCTCTACCTTGCATAGTTTTCAATAGAATCAAAATGGTTGTTAAAATATCTCACGTTATTTTGTTTATTTATACGATTGGCTTCTTATTTCTGGTGAGTACCTAAATGCGAACAGAAACATGAACACATTCCAAATAAATGACTCGTACATTTACTATTCGTTTCATTCATATCACAAAATTGCATTGAGTCAAAGCAAAAAATATGCTCTCTGGCTTTTTGGTATAAGAAATTTTACAAGTTGCAGTGAAACGTAGTGTTAACTTTTTTTAGGAGAATTATGTTTTCGTTCTGTCTCGCTTCATATCATTGTCGAATAATAATTAAAACGAAACAAAATGCAAATCTGGATTTATCTTTTTTGAAATCATTTAATTTCTTCCAGTAAAAACTCACAAATATACACCTGAATGAAGGAAATGGCCTTTACAAAAAAAAGAGTAATTGTAATAGTGGCACTCATTTCGTTAAAATGCAGATTGTTGAACTGAATTGTGCCACAAATTGCCAGTTCGATTAGTTCAAATTAAATGTTCTTATGATGGATAATATCATGCCGTAACTCATTACAAGTTATGTTTTCTCCATTCGTTGTATAGACAAATTTTATGACAGCGAAAAAAACATTCCAATCCTAAGCAAACGCAGTTAAAATATATATAATCTCGTTCTATTCAAAACTAAATTTTATGAAAATAAGTCGCAATGAATGTTTTTTTTCAGCATTGCCTTCATTCAATTTGCGGCTTTAGGGTAGTTAATCT